CGCTATGAATCCCGTTCTGGCTTCGTGTCGCTAAATGCATACCGTTACCGGTTCGATGATTTCCAGGATAAAGACGTATCGCGTTAACACCACGCCACGAACGTGACACCGTTTACCTTTCAACATTTTCTTTTCAACTGCCACTAAACACGAATAGAGAGTTATACGAGAGCGACGATTAATAAGTTGAGAACAACACGAAGCTTAATTCGTGCTGGATTATTAAACGCGCAATATTAGTTGTTTTATTAACGAGATAACTTATCGATAACGTTTGTAGTCAATTGAGTGCATTATTATGGGTAGAAAAAATTGTTCTCTCTCGAAAATGCTTCGAGGATGGAAGATATATACATATATATATACGTTTCTACATTGCTACACGAGGAAGAAGCTCGATATGGATTCGTGCATTTTCCAGAAACGTTCATAATAATGACGATAAACGGCCATTTTACATTCAACGCTTCTTCGCCTCGCCCGTTTAAAACACTTTGAACAGACGAACGGAGTGAAACGTGTTGCCAATAAGGCTTAATGTTCTTTCAATCCTTTGCCAAGTCCCCTAGCCTCGTTGAAGTTCTCCCAACAGTTCTTACGCTCTCTCGAAACATTTATCCTTCCCTCAGCTTCTTCAAAAAGATCAAGAAATTTATCTATCGCGGAATTCTGCCCAAAAATTTTTTCGCCCATGGAAACGAAAAACCATCCATACCTCGCATACGTTCGATAGATATCGAGAAATCGAAACGAAATTTTCGAAGAGAATAACCTACGTTCGCACCGATTCACGTGACCTCACACGCGTAAGCCGTGTACACCCCCAACCCCTTCGTCCTCCTTTATCCGGCTCGATGACACGGTCGATAACGCTTAACACTGGGCCAGGCTAATGCGAGATCTATGAATTACTCGTTAATCCCCGATAAATCACCGACCACCATTATGTCGATACTATCTCGTCCCGAGATTCTTAAGGAAGCGTAACTCGTACGGGAGAATAGATGGCTGTCACGAAAGCTACAAATTGAAAAATGTGCGCCGCACCGCATCGTGCGCGATGGGGAACTGGATACAACACAGCCATACACATACGTACGATGTACGTGTACCTTATATTCCCCTCCTTCCTCTCCCTTCCCCCTCCCACCGTATAAGTTAAAGTAACACGTCTACGTATAGTTGGAGCCGGCCGTTTTCCTTTCCTTCGTCCGCCCCTTGTAAGCCGAGAGAGAAACAAAACGAAGCGACGCGCGTCTCCTCGAATGACGCTCGCATCGATTGCCGGATTTAAGCGCGTAGTCCGTCAGCTCCCTCGAGTACATTTTCCATTCTGCCCTACTGCGATTTCCTCCGGCTGGAAGACGTATTTACAGTTACAGATACACCCTTTTCCTCCCCGTCACAGGTGGAAAACAATGTCTCGAGCACGGCCGCCACGAGAGATATTGAAAATATTTCATCCGGTATCGATGATCGATGGATACGGCTCGAGCTCGAGCCGCGTTAAACAGTTGGGATGCACGCGAATACCGATCGATACTCTTCTTTCCTATTAGATCGTGAAAAGATACGGATAGAAATATAGTTTGATTAAAAAAAAAAAAAAAAGGAAAGGAAAAAAAAGAAGGAAAAAAGAGCAAATTGGAGAGGAGAGAAGCACGTGGGGACTTTTTAAAAGACTATTCATGCGTTTTCACGCGTCTACTTCGAAATTCACGGATGGACGATGACACGCGACGCAAACGAATCCGATATGATCGGAGAACGTACGTTTTTTCGCGATATTCGTTTTTGGTCCTATTCGTAACCGAAATATCGTAATAATCATATCGTGAACGTACGAATATTACAGGGGATCGATCACGGAAGTTATCCGCGCGAGGGATCGTACAAAAAAAAAAAAGTGGGTGTATTTTAATAACACTTGGCTTTACCTGGCCAAATCGAGCGCGTTCCTCCAAGATTAATGCGTGGTTGGGAGGGGAAAGGACGCAATGATTATCGATTCGACCCGGTTCCCCTGGCACGAGACCTCTTCTTCGTCGAACTTTACTTTCCGCTTTACTATTCATACATTGATTATCGCGTAAAAATACGGCCATCTTCCAAGAATTCCGCCGCTCGCGCACGTACGCGAGCAGTCCCCTTCCGGTAGTGCAAATTGAAAATTCTTTATTCATGAAAATACGAGAAAAATCGCGAGGAAGTGGAGTGGAGGGAAAGGAAAAGAGAATATTCCTTAAAGGAACGAATGTTATTCACGCAACGATACTAAAACGTTTGACAAAGAAGATAAGAAATGTCTCGAATTAGTATCAATTTCATTCTTACTCCTATATTTGAAATACTATTCGAAAAAATACTATTCGAGATTTGAAATCAGTCAAATTCGTTGAACGTGTTGTAGTAGTGAGAACGCATTCGATTGTGCGAAGGACAAAGACTGGACGAACAAACGGTTGGAAACTCGCGTTCATTAATGATCGTAGATATTATATATATATATATATTACTTCCGCGTCCCTCGCTTAAATAAAATTTAATACGCGCGAACGGCGCTTGTGCGCTTCCGATGCTAATTTATGTTAATTTAATTTCCCGGCCTATGAATCCCAGCTTAATTGTATTTTAATCGAAACATACTTCCAATTCTCCCGCTCGCAGACTTGCTAACTAGGATCTGGAGAACAGGATTTACACCGTAACGTCGCTACGATGGAAATTTTATCAAGTTGAACGACGTGAACGCGGAAAGAGAGAAACCCTCGTCTCTACGAACCATTTTAAATTATACGTATGATTCGAAAATTAGTATAATCACCTATCTGTCCAAATATCGTCGACATTTTCTTTATTTTGAAGCAAAAAATGACGGTGGATAAAAATTGACGATGCGTTCGTTGGAATTATCAATATTTATCGATATCATCGGATAATAGAACGATTATTAGCTCGTTACGTAGAAATTTTTCTTTTCATTCAAACACGCGCACGATGCGGTAAACGATCGACGGAGAGACGGTCGTTATTGCGGTGTATCGTCCCCGAAACACGGGCAACAGGCATTTAGAAGCGCATACGAAACGCGGTTCACCGCGGTTACTAATTAATTTCGAGCGGTAAGCTAGCGATTAACTCGGAGGTATGATCTCCTATCCGTGCTATGTACACCTATGGATTGACAAATATGCTCGATCAGGTGAACACGGTGCTGTCGTGAAAAGTTAAGCGATAGTTGGTAACTCCAAAGACTCTTATGGCGACGAGTTTGCACGCCGAGGCTAGAGATAATAGATTATCATGGTCGAGATTCGACGAAGCCAGCTTCGATAACAATTTTGATAGTTTCGCTGCGGACAAGCTAACATAAACTTCATTACGTTCATTAATTCGTCCTTCGAAGAGGAATGTCCTTTGGCGAGAAATATTTTGCACGAAATTGTTACACGATACGTGAACGTACGTTTTCCCTATCCGGAATATTTAAAGTTAATGTTATTTAAAACGAAATTCGTTCGAAACTTTTGTTTCAAACTTTACCGTTTCACGAACGTTCAAACGTTTTACGAACATTACTGTTACCTTTATCAGATGCACGAGGAATTGCCGTTGATGAGGTTAGATTATCCTTTGTTCGAGCTGTCTATGCACGTTCGTGTAGCGGATCGTTCATCACAAGCACAGTTAATACCAAAAGCACTACGAATCGAAAATTACACGTGCCAAACGTGGCAGGATACGATCGTAAGACGATCGCGAGAATCGAACAATTTATTTCAAACGATTCTTTTCGCGTTGTCTGTCGAAAACCGCGATAGAAAAAAGAAAATGGCGCGATGGAACTAAAGCGTGAATGGTGGCGCGGACAAGCGGCGTTTCTCGAGCACGTTTTCACATTTGGACAAAAGGTGGCTTTTATTTACGTTCAACGTTCGCTCTCTTATTTCGCAGGCGGCGCCACCGCTAACAGTGAATTACACGCGCAATACGATGCCACTCTTTTGTGGCGCGAAGAATGTGCCGGAAGTAATCCATAAAAAATGCTACGTGTTCAATTTAGCCGTGGCCGTGTACGCGTTCCCGAAGTCATTGACTAGCGGGCGCGGGCTTTTGTGCCTTGTACACGGCAATGAAAAGGTTAAAGTAATTTCGAGTCGCGTTTCATGCAACAACGTCGTCTCTCCTCCCAGCTGTGTTTATACTGTGCACCGCGTGCATTTTTTCCGTCCGCCTTTTCAAATAGACTCTCTCGCGAGTCACCGCGCGCAAAAAAAAAAAAAAAAAAAAAAAAAAATACGCCTCGGGAACGACGCGCTTCGGTCTCAGTTTTGGACGTGTTTCCAATTATCGGAAAAACCTTCTTTCGAGCTGGCTTAAATTTACCAGTGGTAGCAAATCATTGTTGTTTCGGTGTAATAGAATTTTCGGTACAGGCATAATAATTAGTCGATGGAGCAATTTCACGTTGATTTGTTTGTTTCACCGCGTGAAACTCGATCGAAGGAAAGAAGTTGAGAGCGGAAACGGTTAATTATCCCAAGAACGCAAGTTTCCTCGGTTCGAGGAATTTTTTTAAGAATATCGAAACCCAAGGATGGTTAGATTCATCGGGGAGGGTATTGAAATTAGTTTCTCGGTTACATAAAGGGGCCGCGTAATTTGCAAAAGGTAATTAAAAAGCTTGGCGAGCGAACGATTCCGCGTAGAAAATGTGACAAAGGCAACTCCGGTTTCTGTGTGTAACGCGAACACCGCAATCCTTCCACCGCAATGGAAGCGGAATGGAAAAGAGTGGGCGTGTTACACGACACGACAACGAGTTGACAAGTGCGATGAACCGGGGACGAGGTATTTCGAACATAACGTAATCGCGTGTCAAAGAGCGTGCATCGTGGCAGCGGATTAGCACGTGGCAAATCCCTTTCCCTGCACTCGCGAACAAAAGGACCGCCAAAGGCGTAAAGAAAAGGAAAAGAGCGTGGAGCGAGATTACTCACCGAAAATACCGCCCACCGCTGCTGCCTTGAACACGACCCATAACGAGTAGGTGTAGATAATCCGTCCCCGCAACCACCAATCCATGGTGTTGGCGAGTTTCGCCCGGCCTCTTGCGGATGGCCCGTCGTTCGCCCTTCTAATCCGATCCTCGATCAATCTCGATGTCAGACGCGCGATCTCGATATTCGCCGAACACGTCACGAACCTCCTCCCGCTTCGTCTCTGCTTCCTTCTTCTCGCGAGGAACAAGCGAAACGATCGAGGATATCATCGAAATCGCGATGTTGGCTCGTGGTCGCGTTGCCTGTCATTCGCTCGCGAGCTCGAGAGCTCGGGACGGGTCATGACGCGCGTACACCAACAGTTTCACGCGTTCACGATGTCGAGCCGCGATTCACGATGTCGAGACGCGGTTATACAGCAAGTTTCGTTACACTTTACTAAACGAATAACAACGCGACGATGATTATCGAACACGAAACACCTAGAGCACGCGACTCCACCACGCGCTCGAATACGACGACGAGATTCGAGCTATATCCTGGATAAAGATCGAGTTTTCTCCTTTGCGACCACACGTATATCCCGACTACACACTTTGCATATTACATGTATATCGTGTCGTTGTAGAGAGCGTGCGCGCGCGCGCACCACCGCTTTTGCACGTCGTCCGAATCGCGACCGGTCAAATACTAAACGGTGTACTACACTCCGTTTCTTCGACTCGCTTTCTCCCACCCACCCTCCCTCCCATCCCCAACTACACCACCCTGTGTTCTTCTCCTACGTTCACCGATCGTTTACGTTTTCGTCTCTCGTCGAATAATCGTTTCCCTTCGCCTCCAGCTCCTCTTCCTCCCCCTCCTCCTCCTCCTCCTCCTCCTCTTCCTCTTCCTTCTCCACCTCCACCTCTGCCTTCTCCACCTTTCACTCCAACCTCTTCTTCTTCTTCTTCTTCTTCTTCTTTTTCTTCTTCTTCTTCTTCTCCTTCTTTTTCTTTTTCTTCTTCTTCTTCTTCTTCTTCTTCTCCTCTAACAGTGCCAACGTCCTCGATACGTTATCGGTAGGGAAGGGTGGCCTAGCGCAGGATCGGCTCTTTTGCAGGAAACGACGTTCGCTCCGCTGTTTCTGGAGCGAGCGGCACAACCCGACCGATGCATGGTTGCCGCGCACCGGTCACCAGTCTGCCTCCAAGCGCGATTAATCAAGCTTTTAAGCGCTTTCTTGCCGCGATCTGGGAGCGAGGAACGATTCCAAGGAGACGGATCTCTTCGAGGGGGGAGGGAGAAAGTTTCTTCTTCCTCTTCTTCCTCCTCCTCCTCGATCGTTGAAATGTTGGGATGGTCGAAACGGAAAAACACGACGAAGACTCCGGCGATGACACTTTCGAGTCGCGATCGATCGCGATCGCACACTAAGCCGCACACTTTTATCTCGGTGTTGCCGATCGGGAACACTGAATATTCGAAACGAGTCGCACACACGAGTCGAGGGGCGAGGGGAATCGTCAATAACCGTATAAAAATGTTCGGGGACGAGTCGTTGAGAGAAAGAAGAGGTCGGCTAGAGGCGTTTAAATCTCGATTTTCTTGGCACACGCGTTCCTCGGCAAAGTGGCTTCGCGTCCAACGTCGAACTGTACATCCATCCTCGTTGTCCGTATCCTTTCTTCCGAGAACGGATCGAAGCGCGGTCCGAGCAAATCTCGCAAATGGGCAGAGAAGATCGAGGAAGAAACAAAGCTTGGTCTCGACCGTTGTTCGCCGAGGTTTCACGCCATTCCTCTTCCACGAGGTAGAAAAAGGATCTTCCCCGGTTTACGTCCGCTCATGCTCCGGGGAAAACTTTGTACGTCGACCGAGCGAAGAACGAAGTTTTTCCAAATGTTTTTCGCGATTCGACTTCTCGTTCAAACTTTGCCACGCAACATAATCGAAATGTCGGCGCTTGGAAAAATGTGCGTAACGAATCGGAATCGCGCTTCACCACCGCGTCACTTGTTTCTTCGATTCTCTTGCCAAACCGGATGCGTGTTTCGAGGTTGGTTGATTGACCTCTGACCAACCTCCGTCCAGAATTAAGCACCCCACCGGGCAGAAATGCCTTGCCTGCCTGCTTGCCTGCTTCGCGCTCGTCCTTCGAGCCTCGCAGTCGCAGTACAGTTCGCCGCGTAAACACTGAAATGCAACGTAGAGACTAGTAGCCAACGCGAAGAAGGTGGAACGTGAACGTTCGCCAAGCTGGAGGAAGGAGGAGAGGACGACGCGATGCAGACGAGGAAGGGACAACAGGTAACTCGCGGCTGGAATCGAGGAGGCAAGCGGGCAACGAAAGAGAAAAAGAGAGAGAAAGAGAGAGAGGGGAGGGAAGGGGGGGGGGGATCGTCGAAGGCAGAGAGCCGGTCGTCGAACCGGTTTCCTCGCGAGAGATCGCAACGGGCCAATTGGAAATACCACTGACAATGAGTCCACTGGTCGGCCTCTTTACGATCTCTCCGCGCTCACCTGACGACACGATCCACCAGGAGTCTCTGTACGACCAGAAGAATCTAGATCCGATGTAAAATCCAGATCCAGATCCTGATCCAGTTCCAGGTTAACCAACCGATCGGGAATTTTATCTTATTACCCCGTCGAGGGGCCCATTATCCGGGCTCGCGATCGTGGCTCGTGAGTGGCCAAGGTCACGAACCAACCGTGCACACGCATAGCACGGTGGACGGCCATCACCACGGCTCGATCATCCTTTTCCACGTTATCGAGCTCTGTCACGGAAACGTCGTTGCCTCCTCGAAACGACTCGTCGAAAGGAGGCGCGCTGAACGATCGAGATAATGGTTCGAGTCGAGTCACGATGAAAATTGATAAAGAGGCAAGAGGGGGATGAAAGATCGAAACCGATACGGCAGAGTAGGAATCTTTTTTCTTTTTCTCCTCTCCTCTCCTCGGAAAGTGAAACGTTTCAAATATCTTTTTTTCTTTTTTTTTTTTTTTTTTTTTTTTTTTTTTTTTACGAGCGGAACGCGGAAATTGCGTTCTAATCGGAAGCATTCGTTCATGGCGGTGCAACGGTCGTCGTTATTTCGTTCCTTCCCGACCCTCGCGATTGTCCTCCAACGAGAGAACGAATTCCATTCGTTTCCAACGAAGATACATTTTTTACAAGGTTCGCGGGCTTTTGTGTCGCGCGTCGTTTACATTTTTCCCGAGAGGACGAGCCACCACCATCCCGATCCGCCAATGTCCATTTTTCGATTTCAAATGACACGTAGGGCGAAGCGTAAATTTTCCATCTCTTTTTTCCTTTTTTTTTTTCGCGAATTATCTCTGCCGCGACACTTCGTTGGAATGTATCGATATTGGATCAACGAATCACTATCGACAACGAGATTGATTAATTTCATCTTCGTTTCTTTAAGGAGAGTTTAAAAAGAGGAAAAAAGCGAAGGGTAGAAAGTAAAACGCGTACACGTTTCTTTTCTTCTTCTTCTTCTTCTTCTTCTTCTTCTTCTTTATTCGCGAGATCCGGTTCTAGATGGCGAAAATTGATCGATCGATTAGATCGGCGCGAATTCGAATTTGCCGTTGAGGGTGAAACGGGAGAAACGTTTGTGTCGCGACGTTAAGTGAAAATCACCAAATCCGATTGGCGCTGGTCGATCGAGAATGGCACGCCGAGGCTGTGAATCGCGTTCTATCTCGCAACAGTTTCGCCCGATTAAGCCGGGACGAGTCGCGCAGGGAAACGAATTCGAATCATTAATTTACCAGGGGTGAAAAGTCGAACAATGCGGGACTGGGCGTTCACACTTTTAGCGCGGGCAGAAAATTACGCTGCGAAAAATGAGCGGTACTTTCCAATGGGTCGTATCAAAAAAAAAAAAAAAAAAAAAAAAAAAAAAAAGAAAAAAGAAAAGAGGAGAAAAAAAAGAAGAAAGGGAAAAAAGACAAAAAAAAAGGAGAGAAATGAAAAAGGATTCGCCCCAGTTGTCATCGTGCAATTTTCTTCCAGCTCTTGCTCCCATCTCCCACATTCGTCCTCTTTCCCTCTTCTCCCCTCCCTCCCTCCCTCCCTCTCTCTCTCTCTCTCTCTTTTTCTCGCGAACATAGAAAACATATTCAAAAGGGAAGTAGAATTTTCCATCGGAGCGCGTGAACAATTTTGTCACACGAAGCGAAACGCGCGGTGTCTCCTCTGGAAAAATTCTTTCCCCGGGTATATTGTACTGTGTGTCGTAGTAGTACCTGTTCCAGTCCCCGTCCAGTTTCAGGCGCGAACACGCCGAGACACGGGGGGAGGTGGGAGGAGGAGGAGAAAGGAACGGAACAGACGTTGAAAATTGCGAAACACACGCGGGCCAAGGAGGTGTCTCCAGCCGCGGGAGATCCTTTCCTCCGGGCAGTATTTTTTTCTTTTTACTCGCCTCTTCCTTCCTTTCTTCCTTCCTTCCTTCCTTCCTTCCTTCCTTCCTTCCTTCCTTCCTTCCCCTCTGTCGTAATTTCACGCGACACGCCGACGTCGATCTGACACGACGATCACGCGCCCCGCTACTACTCGCGATCCCTAGCCTTATACATCGATACGATCACCCGTTTGCCAATTTTATTTTATTTTTTTTTTTATCCACACGATGACATCGCGTGAACCGATCAAGACGTGCGCCACGTCCCGTCTACGTGCCACTCTCGCCGTCGTGCGTGTGTCCGTTCCGATCGGACGGACGACGCAAAGGCTAAAGACAGCTGAGCACCGCGACGCTGCACGTCCCACAGAATCACGATCTGCACTGGTACGCCATCGAGCGTTAGGGAAACTTCAGCAACCCTCCAACATTCTTCCCCCACTATTTCGACCACCACCACCACTACCACCACCACCACCACCACCACCACCACCACCACCACCACTACTACCGCCAGCTTCACCACCGGAGACCAGCAGCTCGGTGTCGTTGCCACCAGCACCAACCTAGAGCCAAGCACCGACTACGAGCGCAAGAACGTGTACGAGACACAATACTCGCGCCCGCCGGCACCCGTTCGGTTCTCCAGCGATGGACTTTGCGCGCACGCTGCTATCACCCT